CGTATAGATGCTTATTTTTCTAAGGAGGGATTTAAGAAATGTCCATATGAGCATACACTTTTCATAAAGATTGGAGATGGAGGTAAATTGCTGATTGTTTGCTTATATGTTGATGATCTTATTTTTACTGGGAATGATAGTGCCATGTTTGAGAAATTCAAGAAATCTATGATGGCTGAATTTGATATGTCTGATCTTGGAAAGATGCATTATTTTTTGGGTATTGAAGTGGTGCAATCTGCTGATGGAATTTTTGTCTCTCAAAGAAAATATGTGCAAGAAATTCTGAACAGATTTCAAATATCGAATTGTAATTCTGTTAGTACGCCAGTTGAAGTGGGTTTAAAACTCATCAAAGAACCAGGAGGAAAGAGGGTTGATAGCACCCTTTACAAGCAAATTGTGGGAAGTTTGATGTATTTGACAGCAACTAGGCCTGATATTATGCATGCTGTAAGTCTTATTAGTAGATACATGGAAAATCCAAGGGAGACACATCTTCTAGCTGCCAAGAGGATTCTTCGATACTTGCAGGGAACCATTGAGTATGGATTATTTTACAAGAATGGTGAAAAATTAGATTTGTTTGGTTTTACTGACAGTGACTATGCAGGCGATTCTGATGATAGAAAGAGTACGTCTGGGTATGTGTTCATGATGGGTTCAGCAGCTATTTCATGGTGTTCAAAAAAGCAACCAATTGTTACGTTATCAACAACTGAAGCAGAGTATGTAGCTGCAACCGCCTGTGCCTGTCAAGCAATTTGGTTAAGGAATATTCTTGAAGAGTTGCATTTTCAGCAAGAAGGAGCTACTACAATTTATTGTGACAACAGTTCTGCCATCAAACTCTCTAAAAATCCAGTTCTACATGGAAGAACCAAACACATAGATGTGAGGTTTCATTTTCTAAGGGAGCTCACAAGGGATGAAATAATTGAGTTTTTCTACTGCAAAAGTGAAGATCAGATTGCTGATATAATGACCAAGCCATTGAAGTTATCCACGTTTCAGAAATTAAGGAAGCTGCTTGGAGTCTGTGCAGTTAATAAATCATATTAAACTGAATGTTTGATAAACTTTCAGTTTAAGGGAGGAATTGTTAGAAGTATTTACCGTTGTTAATTAATCATATTTGTTTATGCTACCTAATTAGTGGAGTTAGTGGAATAACTAGTGGGATTAGTGGAGTACCTAGTGGAGTTAGTGGAGTTAGTAGTGGAGTGAGTGGAGTTATTGGGATAGATAGTGGAGTTAGTGGGATAGTTAGTGGAGTTGGTTTAAACTCTATAAATAGAGTAATTTCATGTTATAAGTTGTGAGAGTTTTACAAAGAAATAAACATTTGTCCTTTGCTTCTCTTATTATTTGCCTCAATATTTGTATCACTTTTTAGTTAGTTTGTTGGATTTTTAGTGGAAACTGAATGCTCTAACATATAAAAACTTGATAAATTTTTATATTAATGTCGCAAAAATATGCATTTTAATTTCTTTTTTTCTGCATAACTCGTACTAATATATGTGGGTTCTGTGTTGAGGATGAATACAACTTTTAAATTGGTTTAGTTATACGTGCTTGGGCAAGAGCCAAATTGATAATTCGCCGTATTAATACACTAAAACACTTTTTTTTATGTGGGTTCTGCATAAGGGATTGATGCAAGTATATAATTGTTTCTACAGCTGAAGTAAATGGTATCAATGTAGGCCATGAGAGTCAAATAGTGAGTGTTTTTATGTATCATAAATGACTAAAGTTTAAAATTTTGTCTTTTGTAAGACTCTTGGAGGGGTTTTCAAAAAAAAAAAAAAAAAACTTAAGCATATTATGTGATTGTAATTACTGGTATTAATACAACTAGAATGGATAATTTGTTCCACATCATGTTCCTCTTCTCTGAAGAAGAACAGGGGAAATAGAGTTGTTCTAGCTGTCAAATTAAATCATCGTTGATGACATTCCCAGTTTTCAAGCTGATGCGAGAGAGATTACCTTTCACTTGGACGAGACTTTGAAGGATCTCTGTTTGTCAGGAAGAGTAGCGGAAGCTGTTCGAATGTTATGCCATGCACCGGTTCAAGTAGAATCGGAAACTTATTCTCTTCTTTTGCAAGACTTTATGGGAAAAAATCCATACGCAAATGATAATCACTGGATTTGTTCCCAATGAATATCTAAATGTTAAATTGTTGATTTTATATGCAAAGGCAGGAGATTTTAATCTAGCCCGTATTCTTTTTGATAAGTTACAAATGAAAAGCTCGGTCTCATGAAGTTTGATGATTGCAGGCTATGTGCAGAAAGGGCTGGAAGAGGTGGGCTTGAGCATGTCCCCTGAGATGAGAAAAAATGGTTTGATACCAAACCACTATACTTTTGCATCAGTTTTTAAGGCTTGTGCTTCTTTAGCAATCCTAGAACAGGGCAGGCAAGCCCAAGCTCTGTGGATCAAGTGCCAAATTAGTGGAAATCTTGTAGTTAATAGTGCCCTCATGGATATGTATTTCAAGTGCAGTAGTCTCTCTGAAGGGTGTCTTGTATGTGAGAAGTTTTAGATAGAAAATTTTGTTGGAAATAGTTAGTGATAAATCCCATATAGAAAGTATGTGAAGTATGGAAGAGGTTTAAATTCAAGTGCAAAATCAAGTGCACACATATTCAAATCAATTTGGATTGTAGGAAATTTTGGAGGGAAACTTCAAAATTGCGCATGCATTTGTCATGTTGACTATTAAATTAAAATATAAATTTAATGGTCAAAAGATTGGCACTTGGTCTTAAGAATCGAAATTAATTTTAATCAATTTCGTTTTAATATTTCTTCTTAACTAAACGGTTTCCTTTTAGGAGTTGTATCTGGCGATACAATGCATACAACCGTTAAGTGTCCATTTATTTTGGCTGTATAGGGAATTGTTTGCTTTGTAGATAGAATCTAGTTTGTGTTCTGTTCAAATCAAATATTTGGATCCACTTGACAGGGGTGATTTGACCAATTAAGACTATCGTTTACCTCTGTCTCTACTGGGTTTTGCCCTTGTAAGAGGCCTTGTCTCAATATAATTTAGTAGAATACAGCCAATAGTAATGCTTGGAAAGCAGCTTCTTACTTAAGCAGTGAGGTATCAATCATCCAAAATGCATTACTTCTCAAGTTAAAAATGGGAGTTGGTGGATCTCTGTGATGTTGGTGGTTTCCCAACCAGAGTTTCTCAGCAGGACTCTAAAATATCTAGCTTTTATTAGTTTCGAGTTGGATCTAGTTTATGACAGTGCATGTAGTTATCGGTAGGCTTCTAACTCAAATTCTGATTGATCATTGCTCATAATCTTGTCCTTCTTTAGGTCATGATCTTATGAGTAAGAAACTTTCCCAGGAAGAGTCTGTTTTTGCTGTCATAGCATATTTAATGGCATGATGTTCATTTTGCATCCTGGGTCTAACAAAATAATGTACCATATATTTAGAAATAAATGTTCCTGATCTGCATTTTCCTCTCTAATAATGTCGATTCATGATCCAGTACCAAGGATGAATTTGTTTCCTTGTTTGAGTTGTATTGCAGATTGAAATGGCTTCTTTGTTTGAACACCATCTGAAATTTTAGGAAGCAGGTGCTGTCGACCAACGTTAGAGATTTGTACTGTTGTAATCCTTCTGAACCTTCTCAGCAGGCAGAATAGGATTCCTTACTCCAAAGATTTTGTGTTGTAATTCCCTGCATGCATTCAGTCGTGGGCTACATTGGGTTACATGGAATATTTGTTGGGATTTTTGTAAACCTTATATAACAGTTTCTTCTATACTCTCATGCACTACGTTGGTTTTTAATTTGATGTTTGTAGGGATTTTTGTCAATTTGTAAACAAACTTGTTGGTGAAACTAGTGCCAGTTTCTTGTCAAGCCTGGTAACTTAAGTAGCAATCTAGTAGCATTCGACAAGGTTCTGTTGTTTCTTTGGGAATTCTTTCATATTTCAATTTTCTGGAAGCTGAACAGGAAGTACTAATTTTGCTTCTCCAGAGATGGAATTTTTTATCAGGTAATGTCTACTTGAGAGATAGTGACTTCAATTACGAAAGTCATTAGGCTAGGGCTGCCCAATTTCACAGTTAAAGTATGAGTTTTATGGATTAAATGATTTAATAGCCTTTATAGAAAGAATCAAAATATAACTAACTACTGGAGTTGAATATAAATATAATAAAATCTGATGTGTCAAAGTCTATTTTATCTTCAATCAATTTGAACATAACTAATTACTTGTCTGAAATCTTCAATTATATTATTTAAAAATTGTTTCTATCAGGAAGGGTTATGAATAGGAAGCAGGGATGGAGAAGGCACATTTTCAACTAAGTATTGAACATATATAATAGTGAATAAACAAAGGATGATATTCAATTCTGGAATATGGATAGTTTGTTAAATTGGTTAATATATGTGATTTATAATGATATGTCTTACAAGTTTTCAAGTTCAAAATTCTGCGGGTGGTAACTTTTATGAATGAAATTGTCAAGATTTATTATGAGATTTTGTTCTAGTCACCTTATCCCCTTCTTGCTTATCAAATCCCATTCCTTTCCTTCTTAAAAAAAATTTTAAAAAAAAAGCTAATTAGTCCATTCACTTTTAGAAGAAAGTATTATTAACAAATCATTGTCATTTCTACTACTAGAACTACCACTGCTACTATAAAAGTATCATGAGTTTTGGTTATTCCAATTATCTATGTAAACATTTTTTTAAGAAAGGAAATAAGAAAAAGAATAATTTGTCAACTTGTTAACTTTAACCATTAGAATAAAGATTAACTTTTTATGCACTCACAGTGTAGTGATTTTTTTTTTAATTACTAACAGTTTTGGATGTATGACATATGTGTTTTATTTGAATTTCAAATTTGAATTCATGTTATTCTTAGAATAATACCATAAAATACGTGCGCTAATAATAGATTGTCAATAATACACTATACAGATAAGCACAATGTACAAACTGTCTTTTTTATTAAATGTACAGAAACTTACATACAATAGGACAATAATACTTTGAAGAAATAAAGACTGGTTTTTAACCACTTGAAATTCAATCTGGAAATTGGTAAGGTTACAGACGCTTTCAACAAATGATTTTGAATAAAGCAACTGGATATGCCTTTTCAACCATATGTACAATTATTTGAAATTTTACATGCACCCAAGTGAAAAGTTGACGTAGAGGTTGATCCCCCAAGGCCTTCTGCTGTAGCTTCATTTTGAGCCATCAATGAGTATTATCTGGAAAACAAAGGACAAAAGTGAAAAAAAAAGAAAAAAGAAAAGGATAAAAAGACAAGACATAAATGGAATTCCAAATTCAAGAGTTTACAGTTAGATATTGTCAGAAATTTAGTGTTATATATACTAGTTAATGACTTGCATCTTCCCAATAAAAAAAAAAACCATTCTAAACTATAAATGAATATTTCATATTTTCATTATGCATATGGATCTGTTAACACTTGATTCATTATTAAGCACATGTCATATTCTACAAGTAGTAATTATTTGTTTGTTGTAAACAAAATCAAGCCTTTGTTTGTTGTAATTCAATAAGGAGTAATTATTTGACTTCAAAGATGATAGATACATAAAAAAAAAATATGTGAATAACCATACCTGAGCAGATTAATAGTTATCAGATATGTCAACTCGAGGAATGCGTGATATCTTTATCCAGTCATCTCTTGTTTTGTCAGAGTAACGATCTCTCAACTTGTTACAACATCGAATATTCAAATTTTTGAGAGATGATATCTTGCTGAGGATGCAATGCGGCAAAGCTTCAAGCTCTTTACAGTCCTTAATTTTTAGCTCCTCTAGACTCGGCATAATAGAGACCGCAACTTCTTCATCATCTTTACTTAAGTCTTCCCAATTTGTCCAATTTGTTAGGTACCCAAAATATAATTTTTTCAAATTTGGAAATGCTATTGCTTCAGCTGAGGATGATGACTCGAAGTTTGACAATGTATCAAGAGCATCACGACTATTCTCATGCAGAGCTTTTGCAACTCCGAAAAATTCCTTACCCAAATATTCCAGCTTTTCCACTCTGAGGAGCACAAGCTCTTCTAGGGATGATAGCTTCCACAAGGCAAGCAAGGATGAGATGTTGCAGGGCCCACTAATAGATAGCCTTGTGAAGTTATTGGCGTGAGACTTTGTTACAAGCCAACTTGGTAACCGGGCTCCTGGATAGCCATCTAGCCAAAGTCGTTGCAAGTTTGGAGGTGGTTCCATGGTTTCAATGCAACTTGGAGTTTCTATAAAGTGGGCCCCCAAGCGAAAGCACAAATCCATTTCACGCATGTTGATTTTCTTTTCGAGTTCCGCATTGCCAAAATCTACTTCTCCTTCAATTACAACGCGCAATATTTCCAATTGGTTCAGGTCCTTCAAAATTGACAAATCATCAAAGTTACTCCTGGTGATGAACCGAGTCAAAGTACAAAGTGACGTCAGCTTCTCGAGTCCTTGTGGAATTTGACGTAATTCAGAGGTCCCATGATTGAAAAGGTGCCTCAAGTGTACAAGACCTTCAATCCTTTCAGGAAGGCACGAAAGCTCTCTACAGAGAGTGATATCCAGAGTTTCCAAATAATATAGATCACATACAGCTTCTGGCAGTGTCACGAAAGGATTAACACTTAAGTCCAAGTGCCGAAGATGAATCAACCTTCCGATCTCGGCAGGAATTTCAGCTAGCTCACAATCGCTGAAAGTCAGAGTCCTCACGCACTTCAACCTGCAGAATAGATTTTGGGGAACTACTCTTCCAATTTCAGAAAAAGTTAAATAGCTCCTGAGCCTTCCAAAATCAACGACTCGAGAACTAAACATCTCCTCAGTGCCTTCCAAAATTGTTAGATGACGTGGTCTTTCACTAGATGAATTTCTTCCAATTCCACCAAGTGCATGACATTCATTTTTTGTGAGAAATTGTGCAAAATCATGCACTATGTCATGCATCTTGCACTGCTCATATTCACGAAACTCATAGTAATATTCAACATTTTGTATTTCTTGAAAAAAGGAACGCATTGCCAAATTGTTGAAGTACTCACGGCCCACTAGCTCCAAGCGCTCACCTCTTCGTCTTGGCCGAACATAACCTTGTGCTATCCATAGCCTAATAAGCTCTTCTACAGATATCTCATGATCTTTGGGAAAGACAGCATAATATGAGAAGCAACGTTTTAGCTCGGGGGACAACTCGTTATAGCTTAAATACAAATGAGGGAAAAGATCCATGGCTGCTTCCTCCAATTGCCATATCTCACTGTCCAAAACATTCTGCCATTGTTGTACGGTATCTTTGAACCGTAACAAGCTTCCCATAGTCTTTGCAGCAAGTGGCAACCCCTTGCACTTTTCTGCAATTTTCTGCCCAATTCTTTCTACCTTCTTGCATAAGTCCCCTGACTTTCTAGCAAATGCTATCTTTTGCATTATTAACCAACAATCAGAGTGAGAGATCATGCCTAGGCCGTGAGTATCAGTCGATCCCACCACTGTGGCCACTCTATGACTCCTTGTTGTCACCAAGATTACACTTCTGGGAGCCCCGTCCTTGAGAGCGTATTGGAAAGGCTTCCACTTTGAGTCGTCCTCTGTCCATACATCATCTAGGACAAGCAGGAATCTCTTACCGGAAAAAGTTTCTTTTATTCGTCGGATCAACGGATCCAACTCTGCATCATGAGAACTTTTTCCAGCATTCTCAAGGATAGCTTTCGCGACCCTTTTCTGGTCGAAAGGATCTGATACGCAGATCCAATTTCTAAGTTCAAAGTGGTTCTGCACTTCATCATTATTGAAGAGCAGCTGGGCGAGTGTGGTCTTTCCACTACCCCCGGCCCCTACTACAGAGATAACTTGAACCCCATCCCTTCCTTGACTACTACTCTTGGACAAAATTTGGTCAAGAACCTTCTCCATATCAGCTGCTCGACCATAGACCTCTGATTCGTCTATGCTTGAGGTAGTCATAATTCGTTGAAAATCATGAGAATCAGGAATCACCCCACTTGTAATAAACTTGAATTGATCTGCCTCTTCCAAAGTTAATTCTAGCTGTTCATTTATTTTCTTTATTTTCTGAGCTACGTTGCTACGCACAGGAACTTGTTTGAGACAAGAACAAAGGGATGGGATAAAGGAACGAACCTTGTTCCACAGTGTAGGCTGCATTCTGGCATTCTGATTAGTTCCCTTATTCTTTGCTCCGTGAATCTTGAAGTTCCATTCGTCCAGCACATCATCCATCTCATATGTTATGTCCTCAAGCTTTTCTAGCCAAATTCCAACACTTCTGTCCTTCAGCCTTCGTCTCTCTGCATCATGCAGCACTTTTTCAATGGTAGCCAACTTAGAGGAGATATTTGCCACCTCTTCTTCGACCCCCATCACCAAGTTGACCTTCGCCCCAAACTGCTTCACGGCAACATCACCCAATTCACCTATTATCTTTGGAACAAACAATTCAGCCATTGCAACGATAGAATACTACTAATATGATTTGGAAAGGATATTTGGTTGCAAATAGAAGGTTGATACAAAGGCGGACAACCAGATTGGTTACTTAGGACCACTCCTACAACATTGTTATATACTTGTTTTCATGCTACACCAACATGCTGGTCTTGACGACTTGGTCTTCCCAGTCAACTTTTATTTAATATAAAATGGGATGGATCCATGTTCTCCAAAGAGAGTTATCTTAGACTGGAGACAAATACTCAGGTCAGTTTAGGATATTTTTAAGGTTTGTTTAATGGTACTGAGTGGGTTCTTTAAGATTTTAATAATGCTTATAATCACAATTATTTTCCAATCTTCTTGCATTTAGAAGAATTTGGATTAATTTAACCTTTTTCAAAATCAAAGACGTGGGAATTGATTAACCGGTGCCTGAATCAGTGCCTTTCAGGCACTAGTAAGAAAGTCTTATTAAATATTTAATAATTGCTTTACCTTTTTATTTTTATTTTTTCATAAATGATCAAGTGTAGGATTTGTTTTCTCCTATCCACGGCTGACTCTTTGATCCCAGCTGTACATGACTAGTAAGTTATATTAATGTGGTAAAACTTTACAATATATGGACAAAGGTTGAAAAGACTATAAAAAGTGTGCATTAAATCACCGAGGAATAGAATGAATCCATTCCTCATCGTGACATGCGCTTAAAGTATAAGAAATTTGTCTAGGTCATGGTATTCATAAACATGCTTCACAATAAAATTTTGAACACGTTAATCTACTACCTATTTATCTCACGAATTTATTTATTAATAAAGGTGCTAAAATATAATAGTTTTCAGAAAAGCCTTGAAAACAATTATTTAAATCGACTTCTATTTTTTTCTACAAAAACATACACCATTTAGGCGATGTGTGATAATTTTAAGCTTTCACGTTCCGCTCTCCCCCTTTCTTGATATGATTATCTTGTGGGGAACAGATTGAAAAAACCATAAAGTATTTTTATTTATCATTTGTCAAGAATTGCAAATGGGAGACTAATTGTTGAGCTGTCTTTAGGAGTTGGAAACTTCATTAAGAAAAGATTCTGTTTTTGTATCTCTCCGTTGTGTTCTTTTGTAACTTTGTACATGGGCCTTATCTTCTTCTGAAATTCTTGGCTCCACAAAACTTATAAATGAAGTGCACTTTCAGCACTTCTAACTTGACAATGCATTTCAGTCCTTTTTAAAAATAAAAAAAAAATTGTTGCATTTTTTCCAGGAAAAGAAAGGAAAAATGTTGGGAATTTTGTTTGCCTCGTTACGAGTTCTTTAGCTCGAATACAAAAATATAGAGTGGGTGGTCACAATTGAATGAAAATCACTGCTGGATGCCGAACAAGAACATCAGAAAACAGTTTGGATATTTTCATATGACTACCAACAACCGCGTCAAACTGCTTTGCTTTTATTCTAATAAAGAGTTTGTTTGGATAACAAATTATCTCAAATAATATTTCGCTTGCATTATAAATACATTTTTTTATATTTCCAATCACCTTTTTATCTTACATACATCACATTACAAAAAGTACTAAAGTAATTATTCTAACTAATATTTCAAATAATACATCCAAACAATGGTAATAAAAAATAGGGCAAAAAATCTCAGCGGCCACTAAACTATTTGTCAGATCATGTTTTGGCCATCAAACTATTTTCGTCAGCAATTGGCCACTAAACAACTTAATCAGTAAATTCGTGACCATTTAGTCGATAATTACTCTTAATCTGTGAAATTAGCAGTACACGTGACAAAATACGAGGGTAATTTTATTTAACAACTATGCGACCGTATTATTCTTTTAATTTCTTTCCTCAAACAATCACCGAATGGAAAATTATATGGAGGAAAAAATAGCGACTCAATTGGGAGCCCCAAATCTTCAGCCACAAATCCAAGAAGCCGAAGAAGAAGACAAGAATGTCGAGGCGCTCTGCTAAACTTAGATGCTTCTGCAAATTAACAGCAACGACGAAAACCTCATGGACAAATTGGAACCCAGCAAGAAGATATGTTGTCTGCCCAGGACAGGCAAGATTTTTTCTGGAATGATGCCTTTACTAGAAGAAGAGTGAGCTCTGAAAGCCATCTTGCGGAGAAGCTCCCAGCCTTCGTGTGGGTTAAGAAATCTCATCCGGTGAATGAATCCTTTGTCGTCGACTGATGAAGAAGCAATCTTGTCTGCAACTCCGACATCCCGAGTGGTGAGCAGCACTCTGCTGGCGGTTGGTTTTTGAGACAAAAGTGCAATGCAGAGGCACTCCCAAGCATCGGCAGAGCAGACATCATCCAAAACAATCAAGAATCTCTTGGACTGCAGGAACTGGTAAAGCTTCTGAGCCAAGTCCAAATCTGAAAATGGGGCCATATCATCCTTGGCTCGGCAGACATGTTGCAGCAGCAAATCTTCCAAAATTTTTCTGGTGCGGAAGTCCTTCCCCACCATAGCCCAAGCAAAGCAATCAAAATGGCGGCCACTTAAAACCTCCCATCTTGCTTTACTGTCTAATCCACTAAAAATTACCCGGCACTTTTGCCACGTGTACTGCTAATTTCACAGATTAAGAGCAATTATTGATTAAATGGTCACGGATTTACTGATTAAGTTGTTTAGTGGCCAATTACTGACGAAAAATAGTTTGATGGCCAAAACATGATCTGACAAATAGTTTAATGGCCGCTGAGGTTTTTTGCCCTAAAAAATAAAACACATTCCTCTAATTCATATAGGGTTAATTCCACTTTTCACCTTTTACCCATGCTTAGATTTTTACTTTGATTCCTAAACTTTAAAATGAGACATTTTAGTCCTTAAAATAATAATTTTGTCCCACTTTGGTAAAATTGATGACAAAAGTGAGACAGATATTATATTTAAGTGAGACAAATATCGTTCTTTAGGATTAACGTGAAATAGATTTTATAATTTAGGAGTTAAAATAGGACAGAATTTGTACATTAAAAGACCAAAGTGAGACAAATATTATACTTTAATAAAGTAATTAAAGTTCAGTGGTTTAAGTAGGAATTCAGGCATAATTGAGCGGTGTAAAGTGAAATTAATCCTTGAAATATGTAGAATAGAAAACAACTGATACTATTTAATTTTTGGTTGAAATAAAAGGACAAAAGTGTGCAGTGTTGGAGACCAAGAAGATTACAGATTCGCGTCGGTTCCACATCGAAAAGAAGAATTACTGAGCAACTTCTTAATCAATTGGTGCTGGATTCCGTGATCCATTACTCAACTAAGGGGGTTCTTGGTTGGAGGGTATAGGAATCAAGAATTGGATTGAGTCCTAAAATTGTTAGGTATGGGTTTTGAAATCTTGGAATGAATCATGAAAATCAGCCACTCTCAATCCCCAACTAGATTGGAGGGTTTTGATGAATCTCACATTTGATTCCAAAATCTTTTAATTTTTTTTTATTTTTGGGATTTTTTTAAATATATACTAGCTCTGTTTCTATATATTAATATTTATTTATTTATATATATAATATTTTTTATTTCAATTTTGTTTTATAATATGTATATTAATATATATTTAATATACATATATAAATAGTTATATATTAACATATATTAATATACATATTATAAAAAAATTGAAATATATATTTATATAAATATATTTTAAACAAAATATTTATATATATAAATATATATTTATTTCAATTGATATAATATATATAATATACATATTAATATTAATATACATAATTGAAATATACATATTAATAGTAATATAATTTAAATATAATAAAATATAAATATTAATTGAAATATACAAATTGAAATATACATATTAATATATATTAATATAAATATTATAAAACAAAATTGAAATAAATATATTTATATAAATATAAATATATATAAATATATTTTAAACAAAAAATATTTATATATAAATATATAATATTTATTTCAATTGATATAATATATATAATATACATATTAATATACATAATTGAAATATACATATTAATATACATATTATAAAACAAAATTGAAATAAATATATTTATATTTATATAAATATAAATATATTTATAAATATATTTTAAACAAAATATTTATATTCATATATTCATATATATATATATATATTATATATATATATATATAGTGGATGGGTATGTGGGATAAGCATTTGAACGAGGAAGGAGAAAGATATGAAAAGAAAAAAGAAATTAAAGGTAAAAAATTGATTATTAAATTTGATACTCATTCCTTACCAATATTTACCAAGCACCCTCATTTGTAATCATATCTTTGTCCAAAACTTTAATATTTTATAATTTTGTTTTACAATTCCAATTTCTAAGCTTGAACCAAGCGCCCCCTAAGTATTGAACATATACAATAGTGAATAAATAAAGGATGATTATTCGATTCTGGAATATGGATTCGGAAAGGATATATATATATTTTTTTACTTAGGAGAAAGGGATTGCTTCCTTGGTACTACTCCTATTGGGTCTTGACTCTTTGAGCTTGATTTACAGCTTTTGACGATTTACTTTACATCTTTTTATGTAGTCCACAACTTTTGCTCAATTATTGCAAGATATTAGACGGTATACAAGGATCCATTCCACACAGCTCCACTTTTTGCCTCACATTTGAATTTACCAACACGATAGACCCCAAATGTTTCTTGCATTAACTATTTAAAGTTTTATCCTTCAAAAGAAAAAAAAAACTGTTTAAAGTTTAAGGGATATTTGGTAAATAGGTCTTATACTACGAGTTTCAAATTCAATCTCGTTTGGATTACTATTTTCTGAAAACGATTTGACATATATAAAGTAGAAAGGTGATAGAAAAATGTGATTACGGAAAAAGTAACAAATTTTTTAAAAAAATTTGCAATCCAAACATGTAAATCTAAATAAATACGATACACTTATTCTTTGGATTTTGTAATTAATTATTTTTTAAATAGGGATTTAATGTGTACTTATTTATTTGTCTCGTATCTTAAATTAAGAGTAAGAAAGCCATTTTCATTTTATATGCTACATTCCGCTTTTCTTTCATTTTTTGGACATCCTTTACTGTTAACATCTTTTCTCATGTGGCAGTAGGGATAAAGCATGAGAATAAGAAATTTCCAAGCGAACACGTATCGAAAAGACAATAGGGAAAACAGTCCAATATACTTGATTCCAAAACCTTTGCACATTTCCACTTCAACAGATAATTAGTACACAATAATCCACCATTTTCTAGGTATGGAAATCTGCATGTGGTGGAGTAGTTTGGTGAGACTTCGCTGTTGCAATCGTAGAATATCTCAGAAAGCTGTAGCTTTTTTATTTCTCATAACTTCAAGATAAACTACAGTCAAAAGGTATCCATTTCATCGTAAGGGGTCTCAGACTCTTAACTTTTTTTTTTCGACCGAGAAGTATCCTGACCTGATCAGAATCACCTGAATGGACCAGATTACTCTTCCTAGATTGTGAGAGTCCTACCCCAAGAATCACAGCACAGTAGCTCCCGAAAGTTGAACTTAAGACCTACTCCTAAAGAGTAGACTACGGAAACTGTCTGACTCTCAGCTGCCCCGGGGGGCCTCAGACTCTCAGCTTGTCCCTATAAAAAACGCGTTACTTATCACACTTGGTACCTAGGAATTGTGTGTGGATATTTTTGGACACAAGTGCCTTGTGGACGCAAGCCAGAAAGTCTTATTAAATATTTAATAATTATTTTACCTTCTTTATTTTGCTTTTATTCTTTTCCTTTCAAAAAAGATCAGGCATGGGGTATTCCACCTATTCATCGATGACTCAAATCGCAGACGTAGGTGACTAGTAAAACATCATAGAATTAAATTGAATTTCTTTGTCATATTTGTTTTATATTGTTTTCTTTTCAAAATGGTAAGTTATATTGATATGGCATACCTTAACAATGCATGGATAACGGCCAAAAAAAACTATACAAAGTGTACACACTGAAGCACAAAGGAATAGAATGAATCTATTATTCCTCATCACGACATGTGCCTCAAGTATAAAATGTAAAATGATGTAAATCCTCACAATATTTTTCCATTAAATCATATTTGTTTTAAGATTTGTTTATATGTACAACGATGGAGTCTGCATAGGATCTACGAATATTTGTTAACTTCCCTCGTCAGTTTACACCTTATGCCCACCTCAAATGCCAATCGCTGCATGCTATGATTGAGAAGCTTAAGCAGCAACCCTTTACCTTTAATCATTCTTTAATTCACTTTTGAATTCTTTATTCAAAAAGATGGATTATCACTTTAAGATGGGTCACCGACCAATTTAGCAGATAGACCAAACATTAGAGACTAAAACTGCAACTCTCTCTGGAAATTATAAGATTGTAACACATAATCACAACAAATTTTCTTTGGTTTACTAATGCTTTTGCATCTTCCAAAAAATTTTTCTAGGGATTTCCACGTATTGAATTTGCAGGGTCTTAATTTCTTCAATATTTCCTGTGTCCTTAATTCTTCCTAACATTTTTATCGTTAACTTGTTTGGGAATTTCTAATGAAGAAAAGTGTTGGCAAACTAAACCAAATCTAAAAGTGTTTATTTGTTTATTTATTAGTTTTATTGGAGTTAGGTTTTAATAGTTGTGCAATTTAAGAATTTATGTTTTATTTGGTAATTTCTTGTGCAAGTGGTTTCTTTCTAAACAAATCTGGTAGATTATAAATAGGACATTATTTAGGGTGTTTTCTAGAGAGAATCTAGTAGAGTTTGTCACGTTTTCTATTATGGTGTAACTTTTTTCATTGTTTGAAATTTCAATAATATTGTGAGTTGATTATTTTCTTCTCTCCCACATATGTTTTGAGTGTTTTGTTTTATCCCTTCAATTTTGTAACCTTGCACATATTGATTATTATTAGAATCCTAAAATTTTGGTTTCTACAATTGGTATTAGAGCTAGATTATGAGTTTAGTCTTGGGCGTTTCTACTGCCAGAGAATTAGGACAGTTGTCGAAAAGTATTTAGTTGATCGAATTAGACCACAAATTTAGCTCTGAAATGTGTAGTTAGTGAAGGATTTGATCATAAGATTGGTCCGAAAATTGTTAGATTGTTGCGAGTGTGAAGATAGAGATCGGAGAGGAATTTTGTCAAATCTGTTGAGTGCTACGGGTTGTCAGATTGAAGGATTTGATTGGTTAATAAACTAAGAAGGCGAGAAAACTTGACAGAAGAGAGAGAAAAATTTATTCAGATATATGAATTGTTAAATAATGACAGAATATTAGAGAGATATCTGATTGATGATGACAGTTTTGGCATATTGACTGCTATGAGCACAAATAGACATACATATTTTGGTTGGGTTTTAGCAGTGGACAAATATCTTAAACAATGTAATTTGGATGATATTCTTTGTTGGGTTGATGCAAGTGAGTTGTCTAGTATATATA